GCTGAGCAAATCCCACTCTTCCTGGCTGAAGAGGATGACTAGGTCCTCAGACAACAATGGCTCCTAAAACACACAACATCTTCAGGATCAGAGTGGTACTAAGTCCCACAATGGTTATAAGAACAAAACATGACATGGAAAGACTGAGAAAACGAACAAATGATAGTCACGGAATCAGTCCTCTGACTGGTTCCTTGATGTATTACATTAACTACTTCATGTTATCAAATAGGACAGATACAAAGCTGCAGAAGAGTGAGTGGAAAAGGAGTGGACGGATAACAAAGATGGCATTACATCAGATGACGGGAAGAAGTGCCCAAAATGCATATATCATTAAGTACTACATGTATACTGGGACAAGGGGTACACTGCACAATAGGGAAGGGAGATAAAGAGAGAAGAACATGTAAAATAATGACAAAACCATTACAATTTATGACATAGTCTATTTTAAACAATCAAATAAACAAGCCCTGATGCGCCTGAGAAAAAAATAATCAACAAAATTTCTACTCTCTGGCAGAAATTTAAGGTTGAAAACCCTTTTTATCCAGGACTCACCATTTCCTGGCTCTGCTTTCTGCAGTTCTAAGGAGGGGTCTTCAATAAAACACCACGAAATCCCTTCAGGAAGGGCCTTCAAAGTGTAAGAGGAACCCAAGATACTCTGGAGGCAGATGAATAATGTTTGGCCCACCGTCCGTTCACAGCAGCTGAAATTTTCCTTGTAACTTAAAAAAATGTACAATTGTCCCTCTTGGTCCTTATCTGTCTGCACTGGACGAGATCTCCTTCAGACCTGGAATAGACAATGTTGAGGAAAGATGTTCAGTCTGCAAGAAGAAAGGGTGACTCGCAGAGAAAAGAAAAGCCCAGGGCTCCAGGAGAGACTGGACACATGTAAGACATCAGGAGCAGAGCCCTAAGTTTTGAAATGGGATCCTCCAGTCACCTGCTCATCCTTCAGGAAAAACGTAGAGAAAAACACAATTCATGCACCAGAACAGGAAAGACTCAGCCCACTTCGACTTGTAGTTTCTTAGAATATAGCTGTTTTGTTTTGTTTTTTTTTTTCTCTATAATTATATTTTATTAATTTTCATAAACATTTACAGAGATTTTGGGCTTCTA